TTTATCCAGTCCCGCTTTTTTCCCTCGCGCTTTTGTGCCTTGCGCAAACGGTTGTCGCGCAAATGGCGCAGAGCCTTTTGAACAAATGGCAAATTAATAATTTACTCTCAGGTAGATATTGTCAAGTACTAGAAGCCACTAGTAAATTATTGAAAAAATATCAATGTCAAAGTTGGTAATTTCTCATCTTTCAATGGAGAAAGATTTCGAGTTTGTTCTGAGCCAAAAAGGCAAAAGAAAACTGTACAAGGATGGATATTTCTACCTACAAGAAAATGTGAAAACTACAAAACCCAATGTAAAGCACGTTTAACATTGAAATCTAATTCTGTTACCATAAAGCGTGAAGAGCATAATCATGAAGGTAATTCAGTCAAATTGGAAGTTGCAAAAATGACGGAAAAAATCAAGGATAATCCTAGGGCGATTATTGCGTCAGCCTCAACTTCATTAAGTGAAGGAGCGGGGAAATCATGCCCATTGATCAGTTCTTTGAGCAGGACAATAAGAAATGTAAGAGCAAAGGATCATTTAGGCATTGCTACCCCAATTCCTTAAGACATGTTAGAAATTCCAGGGTTCCAGGGTCAAATTTAACAAAAACAAAAAATGGAGAAACTTTTTTGGTATATGATTCCAGAGATAATGACAGAATTTTAATATTTGCCACAAGCAAACATTTAAATATTCTTGAAAATAGTCGACAGTGGTTTGTTGATGGCACTTTTAAAGTGTGTAAAGTAAAGAAAAAATATGATTCTGCGACAGTGAGTTTCAACATAAAGTTAAAATGTTCATAGCCCTTTCATTTGTTCCAACTTGTCATGTAGAAAAAGCTTTCAATTTCCTATCCTCAAGTGAAAAATTTACAAGTAATGAAGTATATCCCATTGAACAATATTTTGAAGAAACCTGGATTGGTAAATCTGAGAAAAAACGAATAGTAAAACCCATATTTGATCATCATTTATGGAATTATTATGATAGAACTGAACAACTAATGAAGAACCAAGAACAAATAATGTGGTAGAATCTTGGCATAATAGCCTGCTCAGTAATTTTCAAGCAAAACAACCATATTTTTGGTCTTTTTTGGATGAACTTTCAGAGAACAGTCATTCCAAGAATTAAAGCTGAATCAACTGTTATGTGGCTACGAAACAGAACCTTCCAGGAAAAAATGTAAAAACAAAAATTGCTGTTTAAAAAATGTAGTTCTGAGCTTTGAAGCAAAGGACCCCGCAATATTTAAATGGCAATCGGTTACCCGTGATATTCGGATGAAATTTAAATATCTTATTGGGGATGCCGTAAGTAACATTTTTTACGATGGGCGCAACCTTGCAAATGTACATATATGACAGATGAGGCGATGTAAGCTGTCAAATATTGGATTCTAATATTCAAAAGCAGAGTAACTAATAGCAAAAGGCAGCACTCATAATTTCAAGTTTTCAAAATTTCATGATGTGGCATTTGACATTTTTCATTTCTGAGTTCAAAAATTGAAAAAATATTCCTATCACAACAAGTTATATTGTATGTACATATATACAGAGTATATATTTTAAGTGATACCAATATTGCTAATTGCTATATCGGAAGTGGTAAGATCTACGAGGTCGGTTAAATTTAAAAAAAAGTTTCCGTTTTTGATGCCCATTCAACACTCGTTTACAGTGTTGCCAAATTCTTTTTAGTTTATGAAATACAGGGTGATTTCTAAGAAACGCCTAAAAATAATTCATCAGTTATTTCGAAAACTATTGATTTTCGAGACAATTCAAATTTGAAAGTTTCATAATTTTTTTTTTTTTTGTAAAGCGAAAAAAAATTGCATGGCATCTTCAAACTTCAAATCCGACGTTTCGTGATCGAGCTACCATCATCAAGTTCATTTTTTAAATATCTACCCAATTTTTTTATGTATATTTAGCAAGCGCCCTTTATTCCCTTTTTAACGATATACCTCTTAAGTATGATTGGCTGACGTTTCTGCTCTAAAAAGTGATCATCAGTAATCATTTTTACCAAAATTTTGTGAAATTACAATAATAATTAGTTTCTAAGTACCTACCTACCTAATTATTTTAATTATTGTTCATAATAAGATAATGTTTAGTGTTCATATGAATTGTTTTAAGTTTGTTCTAAATAATGAAGGGAAAAAGACCGTCTTTTTTACAAATAACGAATTCCAGGGCTGAATTGAGGTAAAATTTTGGTCAAAATCACTGATGATCTCTTTTTAGAACAGAAACGTCAACGAATTATACTTAAGAGGTTTATCATTAAGAAGGGAATAAAAGGCGCTTTCTTAACATGACATAAAAAATCCAGGTCCGTATTTTAAAAAAAATAATTTGATGACAAAAATATTTTTAGGCGTTTCTTATAAATCACCCTGTATTTCATAAATTAATAGGAATTTGGCGATACTGTAAACAAGTGTTGAATAGGCATAAAAAAAGGCAACTTTTTTCCAATTCATCCGACCTTGTAACTCTTACCGTTTCGGATATAGCAATAGTGGTATCACTTAAAATACACACCCTGTATAAAACTAATGAAAACGAAATAAAACCACTTTTGGAAACACCTTTATTACGATTAAATTCTGGATGAAACAAAATGAAACACACGTGTCCCCCAAAAAACAAAAATTGACGTGTCCGAGCGGTTTTTGATTAATCACCTAACACCTGAGAAAACCTAGGTGGAAAGATTGTCGTGCCTCATCCTGTATAACTTACAAACTATCTGACATTTTTTCATTTAAAACAATCAATAAACAGTCACTAAAACCTTCAGCAGCAAACTTTGTCTAACTTCCGTTGCCTTTGAGGGTGTCCACTAGCGGCCATTTTGGAAAATCGCCGCCACGGCCGCCGGGGGGCAGTTGGCCGATGGCTCCACATCCAAATTTAATCATATTACATCGGACTACCTCTGTGCCAAATTTGGTGCCTTTATCAAAAAGTGCACAATATGTTGAAATATCCTAGCTAAGCTGCCTCACTATATCTTGGGCAGCCTATGGAAAACTGGCAGAAGTCTTTAAGAGCGACATACCACAATGTTTAAAGAGGAAGGTGTTTGATCTATGTGTGTTGCCGGTCGTGACATATGGAGCGGAAACCTTAACACTAACCACAGCAAGTGCTAAGAAACTTATGGTAACACAGCGCAAGATGGAAAGGTCGATGCTCAGAGTGTCACTGCGGGATCATATAAGAAATGAAGATTTACGAAGAAGAACCGGCGTCACAGATGTAGTTACCCAAGTTTGCAAACTCAAGTGGAAGTGAGCTAGACATGTGGCACGAATGACGGAGGGGAGATGAGCAAAACAGATGCTCGAGTGGAGACCGCGCTTGGATACACGCTGGACGGACGATCTAAAAACATGTGCAGGCAACTGGATACAGAGAGCCCAAGATAGAAGGGAATGGGCAGAAATGAGGGAGGCTTATGTCCAGCAGTGGACAGAGAGAGCTGAATGATGATGATGAGGGACAAAAAAATACATTTGCACAACTGCAAAAGTTCATACTTTTAATACACAAACCGTCTTTGAACATATGCCTTGCCATTGGGGTTTAAAGTCAAATTAATATCAAAAACATGAACCACGCCAACGCCAAAAATAAAAATTTACGCGAAAGTTCTCAAACTGATAAAAACACTACAAATTTACAGAAAATACACATCCCCTTAAAGTCATCTCGTTTGTTATGCTCACGGTGCCATATTGAATATTAATAAATAATTGACAGTACGGTAAACATCAAATCGCCTAATGGAGTAATAGTGGAAAATTTTGTTATGTAACATCTAATTAAAGATGGACCAGTAGATATAGATATAGCTGTTTTTAATTTTATAGGAAATCCTAATTGCTGGAAATCCCAAAAATTTAAAAACTTTGATTTTGGCTAAGTTCATTTGTGTTTATTTTAGGTTGCTTGAGAACTCGTTTGAGAATAAATTTCAATAAAAATTACAATTCAGAATGAATTTATGAGAAAATTAAACAAGTATGATGTGGTCCAGTCAGTCTGAAATTAACTTGTAAGAAATAATTGAAATTTAAAGTTTGAATAGTTCATGCTCATACTTCAAGTATAAATTGTATAATAGGGACAAGGTGAAGCCAAATTAGACATTATGACCGAGTCTTCTAACTTTCTAGTCCCAAAAAAAAACACTATGCGTAGGCACAAAGATTTTTCTATTGCACTCACGCAACAGCGGAGTTGAGTAAATTCCACGCATAGTTGATTCGATTATTACATGGGGTGGCACTAACGCCCGTTTAATTACAGTAATCGGTCACAGACGATCTTCCATCATCAAAAACTAAACGGAATTACTTAACTTTTACTTTTTTTACGAATAAGTTGCGGGCTGTAGGTCGCCGCCCTGTACGTGGTCGCGGCAGTACCATCACAAAAATAGTACCGCTATACTGCAGTGCCAAAAAGCCTTTGCAAGAGTCTTTTGTTTTGTTTTGGCGGTGGTGTAACATTTTTCGTACTTCTTGTTATAAGTGTTTTAAAGTTTATTCTTCGACGAAAAAATGTAAGGTCGAATGCCTTTTGCAGGTAATTTTTGTTAATATAAAATTACTATAATCCTTCTTAATTTCGTATTTAGAATTAGGCCAAAAATCGTAATGAAAATTGATTTTTAATTTTGACCATCCTCGATTATATATTGATAAAATTGATAATAATTTTATAATCTTCTAATCCAGCCATGGTTATGTAGGTACGGCAAGTAGCTCCTATATAAATGAAAATGATGTCTGATATATTCAGAACGTTTCTTTAAAAATACTTCTCACAAATTATTAGGAAAAAGTCAAATTTGGTAAGTTTGCTTTCCAAATTTCAAAAACGTTCATGATAAAATGTTGAACGTGATAAGTATCTACTAAATATTGTCAAAAGTTTGTGGAAGTTGCACAGAATAAAATAACATTGATATTTTTTTTATAGGCATAACTTCTAAACATCCCTTCAAGTAGTGTTCCCGGTGCCGAATCAGTGTTAAAAAACAATTGAAAATTTTGCATTTTGTTAACGAGAATGGAAAGCAACTCGGTATCACCAATGCCCGAACAAAATGCTCAAGCCCCCATTGCGGAATTCGATAAAACTCCTCCAACTCCCCCAGAGGATACGTTACCTCTGGAAGATTTACCGCCACCTCCCACCACAGTGACTGTGCAGGAGGAAAAGGAAAAAGAGGCACAGGCTGAGGCGTAAGTAATAATTTTATTATTTATAAAAGTATTTTTGAATAAATATCATAGTAGTAGTAGTAGTAGTATCCCTTATTTAAAAAACGTTAATCAACAATCTGCTTTTATTTGGAAAAAGCCTACATGTACCGGAAGTATACCCCATAAAATTCACCCTCATTAGGGTTTTATAAAATAATTAACGTCACGAGTCACAATTCGTGTCATGTTTTTTTTTTTTTTGATGTTTGGTTGGGGAGCCAAACATTATACATATGGGTAATGTGTTTCATGTTGTTTAAACCTAAACATTAGAAGCAATTTTCATACTATGGGGGGAAATTAAAGTAATAAATAAATGTTGGATTTGTGAATGAATTGATTGCTTGGATTAAATGGGAGGATAAAAAATGTTTGTATTGTCAGTAAGAATCGCCAATTATTTTAATCTATATATAGCTCTGTTCCAACCCACATGAGAACCGTTCCAGAACCAGTAATTTCCAGTTGCCCACCTATTTTTCAATAAGTTGAACGTTTATCCTTTTTGACAAATGAATTGATCGACTGGAAATTACCGTTCTAAGACGGTTTTCATGTCGGTTGTAACAGAGCTTATATAAAACACAAAAAATGTTTCTGTCTGTCTGTCTGTCTACCTATGTCCGTTATAGACTTTGAAACTATCCGACCGATGTGCCCCAAACCAGTCTAATTTGAAAGGCAATAATGAGAAGAAGGTTTTAGACCACTAATGACAGGTGTCAACTATATCAAATATGACAGGTTCAGATTTTTGAACCATTTCTTCGCAACGCAACGGATTTTGCTGAAATTTTGCATACAATTTAAGTTCGGGTGATAATACATTGTAGACCACTAATCACAGGTGTAATGTAACAGGTGCAGATTTTTGAAACATTTCTTAGCAACGGATTTTGCTGATATTTTGCATGTACCTTAAGTTCGGGTGATAATACAATTTGGAATACTCAACAGCTGTCAAATGTAATCTTTAACAGATGTCAGCTGTCAAAATATGACAAAAGTGCGTCAGATTCCATAAGACGTTGAAAAAATTTGACAGATGTCAACTGTCGAATACTACAGATGGAGAGGTGGACAAATTGTCAGGACTACCCCGTCTTTAAAAATTTGCTTTATACAACGAATAAACAAAATTTACTTATTTTTTTAGCGTAGTAGCACACACGCCGGGTATCTGCTAGTTGAATAATATAGAGTTACAAATAGCATTGAATATGTAGAGAAACTACAGAAAAAGCGAGATGAGGTTTGAGATGAAAAGATTTTTATAAAATTTTTAGTTTGTGTTGCCAAATTTAAAAAAAATTTGGACCTTTTTCTTTCCATATTTACATGTGACTAATTGGAGTGCTAAATTAGAATGGAGCACTATAAATTTTGTCACCATCAGAAAGCCTACTCTCAAAAAATTGAAAAATATTGGAAATTTTGACACCTGATAAAGTTTCCTATCGGAAAGCGCATTTCGCTATGTTTTTGTCTTATCGAAATATTTACCTGCAAGACGTGAAACGGATGGAATACCCAGTATATTAACTTAAAATATAGTCCGCCGCATGACAGATAAAGGATTGAAAGAATGGGACGGCCCGCGTCCGCCCTGTACGTCAACCAACACAACTCCTCCGCATAATTTGTTATCTTTGTCTAGTCAACAGGCTATTTAGTATTTCTCGGTCGTCTTAGTAAGTTTGCTTAGCATTTGCTTCCTCTCCCCCTCAGGCTTCGACCTTTATCTTCCATGCGGCGGACTTTATTTGTAACAAGCGTATTATCGAGCATAAATGAAAAAATTACTCACGCAGTGTAGCGCCCAAGTGCCAAATTCTTGGAATCAAACAGATTTCTGTCACTCGAACGATAGTTTTGAATATGGACAAACATCCTAATGCTTGAACGTTGTGGGAAAAATTTCCGTACTCCAATTTTTTATCCGAAATAGATTCAAAGGTATTGCAATTTCTCTGTTATCTGCTAATGCCTTTGGATAAAATGTGCCATAAAACGATGAGAATGGGGTGATATAAGTAGGTATACATGTTATCTTTAGGGTGAATGAAAACCTCGAAAGCTCGGTTTACTCGCAAAACACGTCTTTATTCACACAAGAAAAAGTACAATGTTATTTTTCTTACAAAATCCAACTGCCAACTAACTATTGAAAATATCAGTAGCTGCCGTCTTATCTCTCACAGCCGAAAAATGGTTTTTAAACAATTGAATGATTTTTCCACCTGACTGCCGGTGACATCGCCAGCGATAAAAAATACATATTATAATAATAAGCATATTGAAACGAGTAATACAATCAGGGTTACCTATAATCGTTGTCCCTAACACGGCCATCCCACGATCTTTCCTTCCGGCAGCATTTTTATCGACCCCATACCCATTCCGTAATGCAGTTCGCATTGAGGCAATATTACATATTAAATTACTGCCGTTGCTCGTAAGAAAAAAATATTAATAAAAAGCGATACATTATAGCACAATAGCACAAAGTACAATACATTATAATATTAGACAATATATCAGAAAGTAACCAAGTAGGTTAGGTACCTATATACATATTTTATGAGAAGGGTTGTTATTTAAAAAAAAAAACGATTTATCAGCAACCGCCTAAACACACTTAAAACACAATAAACAATAGAAAATAGAATGGAACATATCATTGGCCTTTTGCGTTTGATACTTCTTCTTCTTCTTGAAGTGCCCTGTCTGTCTTTAGACGTTGGCCATCATCATGTCTTCAATTTCCTGGAATCTTTCTTCATTGGCTGCTTCGGTACGAAACAGTTTTCCAGCCGTAAGATCACACCACCCTCTGATATTGCGTATTGCATAACATCTATAGCTACCCTGGATATTTCTTCTAACTATAAGTTAAAAAGACTTGGCGACAGAACACAGCCTTTCCGTACTACACGTTTAATGGGCAGGTTTTGCGCGCGACTTTGTTCAATTTGTACGGAGGATACCTGGTTGTAGTCATACTTTAGTATTTTAATGTCAGTTATCTAGTCCTGCTGCGTCCATGTAATTGTAAAGTGGATCATGCTGTACTTGGTCGAATGCGTTTTTGAAGTCGATGAAACAGACATAGACATTCTTTCAGAATTTACAGCTTTTTTTAGAGCAGAACGCGCATACAATGCCTCTCGGGTCCAGGTCACCTCTAAATCCTAAACGGTTTACTTTCGCATATACCGAATATTCGATTTTATATTATTCGCAAAAAGATCTTGAGTGTGTGACTCATCAGTCTGATAAGTCTAAAATCGCTGCATTTAGTGAGTCTACTCTTCTTAGGCAATTTTATCAAAAGCGACTCCACCCAACCGGTTATACCGGAAGTAAACGTCAACTTGCTTATTTTAATGAAACACCTTGTATGTGATTGCATATTTGGATTCTACGTAAAATTCTGAGCAGATTTTATGTGATATACCCTATACCTATCTTCAACTGTTTTGGAAATATTGTCACAACCCCTATACGTTTCGTCCTAGGACGTCACAGCCGATGCTATATACGTTAAATCTTACATTTTACTTTTTCTGATTCTTGACACTTCTTGCCTTCCAGTATTGTTGGATCCAAAGGCTTGAAGCCAGGGTACTCTGTATGTTAATGGGATGGACCCTTCGTATGAAATTGCATCTGGTAGAAGTTTGTAGGTTGCGCCGGCGGATACTTCTACCTCCGGGTTTGTGGCGCTATGAGTCAGTATCGCCAAAAATCCGGGAGGAAGAGAGTTTGATAAATCCTGTTCAAATTTATTTAATACTAAGCTTTGTTTCTCTCCCTCCTAAACTCTATTTTTATAATGTACATGACGTGGCGACTTTCTACTACTGCTCATTTTCTTCCTCTTCTCTTACTTCTTCTTGGTCTTCTTCTTCTTCGTCTTCTTCATCTTCGTCTTCTTCATCATCGTCTTCTTCATCTTCACTATACTCTTCGATAGATGCACGGGTCATTGTAGGGCAGCCTCCTACTGACGTGGACTGTATCTTTATTTTTCTTTTTACTACTGATTTTTTCTACTTCATAATTTACTTCTCCAAGTTTTCTAAGTACCTTATTGGACCATCTTGAAAGTAACTTTTCATTTCACAGTCTGTTTGCTGTGTGTTACAATACATTGACAATATATCAGCTATTGCCTTATTTAGCCTTTCTGTTAATCCACCACAGCATGGATGATATTCTGTCATAAACTGGCTTCTTACTCCGATTATACTTCCTAATTCCCTTACTAACTCTGATTGAAAGACTTTTCCCCTATCGCTAAGCAGATTTCTCGGCATTCCATGTATCAAAAATACATTTTCTAATAAAAATTTCGCGACTGGTCCTGCTTTTCCATTCGGCAAGGCGGCTGTGATATCATATCGTGAGGCGTAATCGGTAACTACTACTATCATTGTTTTTCCCTTATTACTTCTTCCAAATAGACCCAATGCCAACCTTGTCGAAAATCGTTCCTACTTGTATTGGTTGTAATAACCCTGGTGTTTTTCTAAGGTTACCCCTTCCTTGCCTGGCATTCCAGGCATCCTTTCACGTCTTTTTCTATATCCTGAGCATTCCATCCCAATAAAATCTGCTATTAATTTTCTCTGTCGTTTTGCTGAGCCCTAAATGTCTGCTTGTTGGTGATGCATGTAGTTCCCACAAAATGTCTTTTCTCATTGTTTGTGGCACTACCAATACTTTTTCTAATCCTTTTTGTGTTTTACTTACTTTACATAATAGGCCTCCTTCGATCCTGAAATTTTTGCTTTTCGTCTGGTACCAATGTCAATTTCTGGATCGTCTGGATTTCCTACAGCTTTAAGGATTTGTTCTAATTTTGGGTCGGTTTTTTGTAACGTGGACATTTTCGATGTTTGTAATGCAAATGTGGGGAGTTATTCTTGGTCTTCTTGTTCGTGCGCTTCTGGCTGCAGTACCGGATTGCGAGACAT